GGGAACAGCTTAAAAAAATGCAGGGAGGGTTAAAAACTGACTTGGACTCAGCAGAGGAGGCACCCTGTTGAATCTCTATTAGCCTAAACAGGCAACTGCTCTGAACATATAAGAGGGGCTTTGTGAGATTCTCTCTCTGCTGCAACACTCTGCACATCTTTTTATTTATTTTTTTCCTTTTCTGACAAGCTGTTTCGTTGCCTTATGTGATTACTTCAACGTTACAGTTTGCGACGGCTGGAAAACCAGATAAAGAGCGAAGAAAAATCCCCATTTGAAAACGGATACGCCGACCAAGAACCAAGACTTAACTGTCATTTGAAATCAACTTGTTTGAAAACCTCTACTCTCATCTCACTTTGAGTTCCTGTGGTGCCCCTCCTTCGCTGTCTCCTGCATCGGTGCACTCAATAAAGAAATAAAAAAAATTAAAAAAGGTTCTCTCATCCCTGTGAATAAATTCAAATCAGGAATGGATGTTTGTATCTTGTAGCACTGTTTCATACGTATGATCCGGATTTTCCTGTTTTTTAGGTCTTTGAACACATCTGAGAACTGTTCACCATCTCTAGATGTCCAATGTTATCTCCAATCAGTTCAAAATTAGATTTTCACACTATCTGACACCATGTGCTTTCAGTTTATTTTGGCATTGGTCTTGCAGTCTCCGTCTCATGGCGGGGCTAATCTCACTCAGGTTGGGGCTCCACTATCTTGGAGGAACGAAGAAGGGAGGGCTCGCTGTGTGCCTCCAGTTCAAAGATGGACCCTAATTCATGTTGCTGTGCTAAAAGCAGAGGAATGAGACACATGGGGGCACCGGGAGGCGGCAGGAAGCCTCAACAGGACTCCCTAGAGTTTTCTGTCAAGTTTCGGTGTTTGACGCTGGCCGCCGTACCGCCGCTGCTGCAGCCGCCGCCTCGCTGTGAATGCTTGGCAGCCTGTGGTCTGGATATTTGAAGATAACATTTGCTATTAATAAACAAACAGAAGCAATTACTGGGAGGCAGAGGAGAGGAGAGGGATTGGATTAGCTCGGGATGAGCGCCGATCTCAGTAAAGTCCAAACTGATGAGCTCCAGCACTCCAAAGACTCCAAAGGCTGCAGAGATACCGATCCCTTCTCACTGACCCCCCCATAGCCCCACTGCCTGCAGCTGCTCAGAGATAACACTCCTCTGTTGGTGTGTGTGTCTGTTTGTGTGCAAATGCAATGTTCATGTCAGAACTGTGTGTATTTATGTAAAATCATTTCTGAATAATAAAAATTAGGGGTGTAACGATACATCCAGCTGAGACAAGGTTATTCATAATTTTACCGTTTTTCGTTTTTGCTTTTACAAGTAGTAAAAATACTAGTATCCCTATTAGTTTGTTTTAAAAGCTCCCTTTGAAATAAAGCCTATTTTGAAATATTTCGGGTTTCACGCTCGTCTAATGCTGTATTAGTACCAAAAACAGCTTTAAAATCTTAAAGAATGTCTTTTCAGTGAAGAACCATGCAGTTCAGTGTTGATTAGTTTAAGCAATTTAGCTATTTAACTAGAGATAATCAAATGCATTACAGACGAATGATTGGTTTGATAGAAATCTGTTCTGTAGGCTATTGGAAAAAAAAATTAACAAATGAGCTAATTAACAAAAAATACCTCTTGTGTAGCAAAGATAACTTAAAATGTACCAAAAACGAACAAACATATCAATAGACTATCTTTGCTTTCGGTGTCCAGGTGGCTTTTCAGATTCCTTGCACCTCCATTGGACACCGGGACATATGTGCCTGCTTTGCACACTGTGCACAAGGCCTCCCATTTGTCTCGACCCGGTCTGAAAGCGGGGAAACTCTTTTGTAAATCGTCGGTAAACATATATTTGCGCTTTTGCATGTTGTTGGCGTACTGACAGCCACGCTATCTATATTCTGATTAAGAACAGGGCTGCCCGCACTGACACGGCTTAGGGATTACATCACTCGCAGCGCTGTGCGCAGTGCCCTAGTGCCCTAGTGCCTGTAAATTTAATGGTCCAATGAAGGTAATTTAAAAAAATCAGGACATTTCCTCACTTTCTAAAAAATACCCGGGACGCCCGGGACAGGACGTGAAATACGGATATGTCCCGGGAAATACGGACGTTTGGTCACCCTAAGTTTGATACAACTTTAAAAAATAGCCAATAGGTAGCAGAATGCTAACTTTAGTCTCTGTGGAGGTTAATCAGTCACAGTGCTTATAAATCCGGTTCATATGCTCTATAGCTTTGTTTTTTTTTCTTTCATTGGCTTCAAGATAACAATAAAAACCCATATTATGCTCCGTGGGTGCATTGGGGTTACCTATTTTCATAACACTTAATGAGTGTATTTTACACGATACAAGCACAATTTAAAGAATATGAGTGCAGCCTAGCAGTGGGATGCTGACCCCCCCCACCTCATGGAAAAAAAACTCAACGCAAATATATTTCATGGTTAGTGTTTGTCAGAACAGCATACCCTGCCAGATCGGCATACATTCTAATACTCATGCACACACATGCGCAACAGAGAATTACTCCCACGTTGAATTTTAGCAGCAGTGTACCGACCAGCAAAAACATGTTTATTTTAACTTTTAAAAAAGAAAATCGACTTTGATTACACTATTATTTCTTGGATGTTGAAACAGCCAAACATGATTGAAGTTTCTGGGATGATTAAGGAAGAAGCCTCTATAACTGAAATCATGTTACTCAATATTAATTTAAAATAAGTGACTATAGTAGTAAAAAAATGTGTGTGCAGGAATTTGAAATGTGTTAGATTTTTTTCATGTTTAAAATCATAGAAAACATTTGCTGTGGTTTACATTGTGACCGAATTCATTTAGGTTAGATAAAAACTAAAAGTATGTCAATCTGACAGCGTATGCTGTTCTGACAGAGCACCGGTTTTTGCAGTTAAAATGATCATTTGTCCTTTTTTCATTTGTTAAATAATAAAGATTATTTATTTAGGTCATCCAGAGGTCACTATCTCCCCATTAAGCTCCGAACTGAACCAAAGCCTTCTACTTCTTTAGTGCTTTAGTAGTGCACTGCGTTACCATCATTGTGGTTACAGAATTATGCACGTGGGATGTTTACTACATACCTATAATGTAAAATACAATCATTTAGCGATATTGAAGGTAGTGGTGAAGGAAAGTAGGTGACCCAAATGCATCAATTGGAATAATGTTTCACTTTTGTTGGAATCTGTCTTCTCTTTAATATGGGAGGAAAAGGTTTTTAAAGAACACTGGGCGTCATTCTCCTGATGACATATGAAAATCAGCAATCCTCTGATTTGTCATTTTCATGATTTACCAATTAAATATTCTTATTTTGAGGACATAATGTTGAGGGGGAAAAAAGATATAAAAAAGTGCTTTAAACCAGTGCTGTGCATCTAAGGCTACGTTCACACTGCAGCCTGAAGTGACCCAAATCTGATTTTTTTGCACATATGCGACCTGGATCAGATCTTTTCATGACAGTCTGAACAACTCAGATCCGATTTTTTCCAATGTGACCCAGGCCACTTGGCTATTTGGTCCTGAATCCGATACGAATCTGATCTGTTCAAATGAGACCTGTGTGCTGATGAAGGTTCTCAGTTATCCAGGTCATAGTCATTCCGTAAAAGTTCAAAAAATATCCACTGGACTTGGTTTCCAAGGTTTGAAGACGTTTCGCCACCTCTCCAGGAAGCTTTCTCAATTCAAATGTCTGGATCCGCAGTGAGTTTGAGTCTTTATATAGATAAGGCCTTGTATTGCTTTGAAACATGCAAATGGAAACCGATGAGTGGGACATTGGTTCCATTGTTAGGCTGTAATATCTGAAACCTGTCTATGATTCTGAAAGTCAGTCATTAAGGGGGGGAGGGGGATTTTCTCCTGTAAGGACAGTGGATTTTTTTGAACTTTTACGGAATCCGACCTGTGTGCCATTAATACCCGACAAAGGTCACGATTCTGCGTCTTGCTATGCAGAAGCAGTAAGAAAAACAATAACCATGGCGGACGATAATGCGGAGAGTAGTATATGTGTTTAACCATATTAAAAACATTGAGTTTTTAAGGTTGGGAAAGATCGCTAGGTGTGCTCCAGCGTTGCCATCCATGTTTACTTCCGTAAAAATAGAGCACACTGGCTTGTTGACGTCAGAACATCCTCTACTGCGCATGCGGGACACTTGCGTTCTATGAATGCAGTCCACACAGGCGATCGCATAGACGTCGCTTATATTTGGAAATGTGAAAGGCAACGAAAAAAAAGATTTCACAAAATAGTCGTAATTGAGCTTCAACGCCAGCAGTGTGAACGTAGCCCAATTTACTTGAGATTAACAGACTTCCAAAAACTTCAAGAAGAGTAAAGTAAGAACAAATAAACCAAAAACACATCAGAATTTCTCATGAACTCATGCTGGGGTGTACATATAACAGCTGCAGTTACCTTTCAAATGCATGAATGCAACGGGTGGATACATGTCCATGTGATTGTTTGCTACTGCAGCAGAGCAGAGGAGTAAAACTTCTTCCTCCTCCTCCTTGCTGTCCCTGCAGTGTGTCACTCCGTCAGGTTTTAGATTAGGCTGATCTAGTTAGGATTCCCACTGTGGCATCTGGAACTGCTGTCAAGGCTTTCTCGACGCTACGAGTCCAGCCTGCACTGGGGATGACTGACAATCTCTACTATGTCTCATTCTCCTCGGAGACTCGGAATAGTCAATAATTCAGCAAGAAGGTGCCTTCTCAAGGAACACCGCGAAATGAAAACTGTGTCTGTCTTCCCACGCTCCCTTCATAATTTCTCTCTCAAACTAGAATTCCTCCTCCATCCTACCCTTGTTCTCTCCGCTCCCCCACCTCACCCACTACCCACCCTCCCACCCCACCACACACTGTCACTCTGTCTATATTGCACTGCTTCAATAATTCAAAGTCATATATAAAAGTCAATGAAATTTACCATACCTCGGGTCATTACGATGCCTGCTAGGGATTTGTGTCGAGCGTGTGCTGGGCTGCAGCCACCCACCAGCGATCGGTACTTCTCCCTCACCAACTGGAATATTGAATCGGCAAAATCCTGAAAAAAAACACACAATTTCTGCCTTAATTTCCTTTTGAACATTAATGGGTGCTGACTGACTGCCAAGGTTGAATTTTTAAATATTTTGTTCTTCTTGAACATGTCAGGCCAGAGAGGTTTCAAATAGCAGATCATAATGAAATTGGGGGGAAAAATCCACTCTTTCCAAGATTTAAACACCTTAGTAGCAATTAAAATAAAAAAGATCTTTATTAGAGGTAAGTCTTCAGAAAATATTGAAGGAGAATTGCAGCTGGAGAGCAGATCCATGCAAACTAGAAGTAGACAGTTGTCCTACGACAATGAAGCATTTAAGGTTGTGAAAACAATGAACCCCAAGAGAAAAACATTTATGTGGTTGTCTTTAATGCAGAGGAAAATTCTAATAAAATCTCAATTGCAATTTTGATTTTAAAAAAAATCAGAATTTTGCTTTAGCCTTACTCTCTACATCTTTCTATTAGTAGTGTGAAAATGATAAATAAATGCATTCGGTGAAGCTTCTTAATGGCTAAGAACATTTTTTATCCATTCTCAACCAAAGAAAGGCTTTGCTTGCTTTTTACAGTTGATGTTGTTCTGTTGCTGTCATGCACTAGAGAAGCGAAAGTGCTTTATGTGAAGCATCGCTATGTCTTTATTCCAATCAGTAATTAAGTTAACAACTTGAAACAAATACATGAGTCTGTCAGACCAAAATACACAATAAGGAGGATAGTAGGGAAGGTTCAAACCTCAAACTTAACATAAATTATTCAAATCTTGTTCCCATCAAGTCTCACAAAAAACCATCTACTCTACTGCTCTGGACACATTTACACTTGATGAGGTTAGGATATATGTAAAATGGAGAAAGCAAAGATTTATAAAAAGAGGCCCATAAATTTAGAGGCTCTGTGTTCTGACATGAATGTACAACTTCTCATTACCTTTAAATCTGCATGTGTTTTTGTTGTGAAAACTATATTAATTTGCAATAATTTGGTATTAGTACTTAACAACATGTTGTATGAAAACAATAATATGAAAATCTAGATTTTAAATGTATGTCCTCAGTGTGATCACATTATGCCAGGCTGCTGTTTAAAGTCGTAAGGAAACCGGTGGCGCATGACTTTACA